GTGCAGTAGATAGAGCTCCAGCCTTGGAGTCAGGAGGACCTGAGTTCAAATCCAGCCTCAGACATGACACTTAGTAACTGTGTGACCTTGGGCAAGTCACTTAACCCTGATTACCTCACCAAAAAGCGAAAAAATTAAAAATAAAAAAGAATTTAGAACAGTGCTTAGCACACGGCAGGCACTATCTAAATGCTTTTTTCCTTTTTCCTTCCCCTTATATATGCATATGTTATCTTTCCTGCTAGAAATCACTCATTAATAAATATCAATTATAATATTCATATATAAAATCTTATTAAAATGTGCAAGGTACTAGGAATACAAGTAGAAAGAATCAAATAATCTCTACTTATCAAGAGCTTATATTCTAATGGGGTAGAGAATAGGTACATATATGTATGTGTGTGTATATGAACACACATATACATACACATATATAGTTGATATTACATATTTCTTAAATAAAAAGTAGTTTGGGAGCAAGGGAATTAGAGGGATTAGGAAAGGCTTTACATAGAGAACAGTGCTTGAGTTGAAGATTAAAGGAAAAGAGGAACTCTATGAAGTAGAAGTAGGAAGAGAGTCCCTCCTATGCGTGGAGAATGGCCATATCCCATGGAGATGGGATATAGAGTGCCAGGAACAGAGAGAATGCCAGTTTGGCTAGACTGAAGAGTGTAGGAAGAGGAGTAATATTGAACAAGGCTGGAAAGATAGGATGGATTCAGGTTGTGAATGACTTTAAAAGCTAAAATGAGGAGTTTATATTTTATTGTAGAAACAATAAAAAGCCACTGGAGTTGAATCAGTGGGAAAATCACGTGGTCATATCTGCACTTAAGGAAACTTATTTTGGTTTAGTGTTAGAAAGGATTAGAAGGAGAAGAAACTGAGGTAGGGAGATGAATGAGGAGGCACTGTTGCAATTATGTAGGGAAGAGGTGATTCAGCCCTGAATTAAAGTGGTAGTTGTGTTTATGGAGAGAAGGGATAGCATGTAAGAGAGGTAAACGTAGAAATGGAAAGATCTGGCAACTGACTGGAGAGGTGGTATGAGAGAGGAAAGAGTAAGGATAATCCCAAGGTTATAAATCTTGTCAGTCAAATATTGATTGATTTACTCATATTTTTATTCCCAGTGCCCAGCTCAGTGCCTGACACATTGTAAGCCCTTGACAAATACTTGCTTATAAATTGCTGATCCTATGTTCACCCAACAAATAAATGTATTACAAACTGAGTATATATCATACACAATATCTTCATGAAGATAGGGACTGTTTTCTAAACTTTACCTCTCATCCAGTATCTCACACAGGAACTCATTAAACATTTACTGAATTGATCACAAGTGTACAATAATTGGGCACAACAATGCTAAAAAAACAAAGCTGGGAATCATATTCAACCAGGAAGTCATTTTTTCCTAACCTGTCTATAGGAAATATAAAATTAAATTGTAAAAGTACTAACTTGTAGATCATAATAGAATTTACTAATTTAATTCCTATCCCTTGCTAAACAGGATACAAATTTTTCCATATCCTTCTTGAAAATAATTTTTAGAGTATATAAACTACCTAGACTATTTTGGCATAGGAGTCATAAAATAAATTTAGGTATTTTTGGCAAAGATGCAATAAAGTCCAAGGTACAATGGAATGAATAAACATGTTTTTGTTCATCACCAATTAACTATATGAAAATGAGTAAGTCATCCTACCTTACTGGTTCATAATTTCCTCATTTAAAATAGGAGGGAATTAAAATAGATGAATTCTAAGAGCTCATTCTATGAAACATATGTAAATGATTAAAAATGGTCAAAAAGGCTGACCAATTTTCATGGATTTACCAAAAAAAGTAAAGACAAGTAAAACATACTTATGTCACTTTCTAGACAAAAGATGATTTTCAAGATGCAACTTTTTCATGGTCAAAAAATCAAAGAACTGATTCCAATAATGTTTAGCCATAACAACTAAAACTACTGGTTGAACAAATCGGGGGTAATTATATGGCATATACATTGTCAACTCTGCCTCCACTACTGTATTAAACGTATGGAGAAAGAGATTTCTTGATCATTAATTTTAATATCATCTTAGTCAGTGTTCACTTAAATATTTCTTCTGAGAAAAGTGCTGACAACTAGACTTTCTTTAATCATTTTATCTCTGAAGTAAGTATATGCACTCTGGGCCTTCTTAGGAGAATTCAGGCTATGTTATGACTTTGAAATTTAAGAAAGAATGCTCTAAACAATGAAATAGTGGCATAAATTATGTATTCGAGGAACAAGCAAGAAGTATTTTGAGAGTTAGTGTTATTAGAACAAAAAAGCAATGGAATTCACTTATTATGATTTCACTATGAATTTCTGGAAGTTAAAATTCATTCTTAGTGCAGAAACATGAATGAAAATATTCTCAGGGCTTTCCTCTTTCAGGTTAATTCAAAAGATCTTAGGAGAAAATAGATAATATTTAGGAAATAAATATTTAGAAAAATAGATATAGACAGGAAAATAGATAAATAAACCAAATGGTGCTAATCTTTAGAATGGAAGAAAATTACAGTAACATCAACATTTTGTAATTACAAAATTCTTTTGGATTTTCAATGTGTTGCATGTAAATCAATAAGCCCTCAACATGTGTACAGGAAAATTACTTTAATTAACATTTTATAAAATAGATGCCAGAAACAAAAAGAATTTGAGCAGTCTACTAAAGAAAAGGAAACAAATCAGCAATAGATCTAATTTAAACTTGAGACCTTGACAATCAAAGGTACACAGATCCCCTGAAGATGCAACTTGGTGGCACAGTGGATGGAACTCTGAACTTGAAATCAGTAAGACTTAAGTTCAGTTCCAGAATTGGACACTAATTAGCTGTGTAACCTTGGGCAAATCACTTAACTTCAGTTTGCTTCAATTTCCTCATCTGTAAACTGGGGATAATTAACAGCACCTACCTCCTAGGGTAGTTGTGAGAATCTAATAATAACAATAATAATAATAACAATAACAATAACAATAATAATAATAGTAAAGCACTTAGCACAGTGCTTGTCACATATATAAATCTTAGCTCTGTAAATGTTAACTATTATTAACCTCTGTATGCCTTAGTTCCCTCATCTGTAAAATCTACCTCTCGACACTGTTGTGAGAACTAAATGAGATATTGGTAAAAACATTTTGCAAATTTAAAGTGCTATGTAAATGCTAGCTAATATTATCAGTAGACCATCTTTAGAGTTTTATTTTAGAATAAAATGTACATCATATAGAAGATTTTTATAAGTCTTGCACAAGTTAAGTTACGATTATCTCCCTTTAATATAACATAAGATGGCATTGAAAATGTCTAAGCTTGCTAATGGAACTGACTTCTGTCTAGAAAAAAAAAATCTTTAGTGGAAAAAAAAACCTTTTATGTTAAGTAGTTTCATAAACACACAATTGCAAAACACATGAAAAATACGTCTATACCTTCAAATGTGCAAATTAAAATAATCACTCCTTTAAAAACTCCATGAAAATGTCATTTTTAGGAACATACATCCCCCTCCATGTTGCTCTCACAAAATTTCTACTCTATCTTCTTTTCCTCTCTTTTTTAAATAGCAAAGACAAAGGCAAAACTTGTCTTTTTTCTGCCCCTCAGGCTAAGAAAAACGACCTGAATGTTTACTATCTAGATAGAGAAGAAGGAAGACCTAGTCAAAATTCACTTTTCTGCATTTACTAATTGCCTATTATTCCCTTTTATGATGATCTGATTTTTTTTCTTTCTTGCTTAAGCATAATTATAGGTATCAGGAAAGGAACTAGACTATAGGAAAAAATTGAAAAATAACAGAAAAAAAGAAAGGAAATGACCAATGAGAAAAGCTCCAAAGAAGACAATTAGGAGTTTGAAACAAGGGCTCAAGTAGAGGAGTTAGCCTTGCTTGAATATGATGGGACACGCCATCATCCAGTGGCCACTTGGGCAATGGAAGTGAAAATGGTAAACACACAGAAGTTTTGAGGCATGGAGTACGTGAGATAGGAGAAAGCACAACAGATGGCTTTGATGTCTCAGCAAAATAGGACATGAGGTCATCTACTGAAGTGTCTTTGGGACCTTGAAGACAGACAAGCAGCTCTGGAATAGCTGCTTTGAATAGTTTAATACAATGTCAATCAGACATGAATAAAAGGGTTCCCAAGCAATATATAGTGAGGGCCCAATTTAGGCTAAACAAACTCAAATTTGTAATTTTTCATTATATTACATGAATTTTCATCTCATTATATGAAATTCAAATTTTTTATGTAGAAATTCATCCTTCAAAGAAATGTGATGACTAAATTTTAACCCTGATTAAAGGGACATTTGCAGTGGAGATACTGAGATGACAAGTGATATAAAGAACAGGCATTTAAGGATTTTTTTAATAGCTCATAAAATGTTCACCAAAGTGAAAGATAGTAAAAGAAAATTATCTCTAATGAGCTATATCAGTGACAGGGGAGTTTTTCCTAGTCCCAAGGGTGCTTAGCTGAGATCTGGAAGGACACAATCTTATATTTCCATACTTCCTTTGAAGAGTGAGGTGAGGTGAGGTGAGGTGAGAGATGAGGAGAGAGGAAAGAGGAGGTGGGAACAGAAGGGAAGGAGAATTTGGGCTGTAAAGAACAGATGAGAAAATATAGCTCCTTCCCTTTGGAGAGGTGGGAGCAATGGAATATCATATACACTTTGATATTTACTTGACATAGTTTAGTGTTGCTGACCTGATTTTTCCCCTTTTTTACAGATATGGTTGCCTGGGGAAGGGAGGGGACAGGTGGAATATTCATAGATTAAGAAAAGGAAAAAGCAAAAGATATTAATAAAAAATTTAAAATAATGCATGCAGTAGAAACAATCTCAAAAGTAATAAAACTAGGTTGGAAGATATACTGAAAATCACACCATATTTAATTATAATTTTTAGAAACTTACCTTGTTTCTAGCTGTTTTATACTAGATTGTAACTGGTGTAACCGCCTGTCTGATGCTTCCTCTCTTCCTTGGGCAGATTCCATATCTTCTACCTTTAAACCAGATTGAAGGAATAAAATCATATTGGTGTAACACTTCTCAAATTATATTTGTTATATAATTAGGTAACAAACACATCCCATATTTACAAAAAAAAAATCCCACTACAAATTATTCACTGTTAACAAATTTAGATAAATTATTTAGGCTACTTCTATAAAACAAATTGAAGAAATCCAACCCACTACCCTGAATTTTAATGCTTGAATAGTGGCAAAAGCACAAGGAAATGACCAATAAAAATCATGCTAATTTTAAACTACATTAGCATTTTCCAAATAGCAAATAAAAAAGCAAAGTGGGGGTTAAGAATATTTCCTGGGACTTAAGAAGGTAATGAAGTTATTTTAAAATAAAATTGCTGTACTATTTTTAAAAGATTAAAAGCTAAATAAAAACATTTTATTTTGCACAGAACAAATACGTCATTTTACATAGATGTTATTTGTTACATATTCGCTACACTGGTAATGGTATCTTTTAAGGAGCTAGGCTAGTGCCTGACAGGCAATCTCAACCTCTCCCCTATTTTATGCTGACTCTCCCACAAACAAATTAGCATTATTAACAGTTTAACAAAATAATTAAACTTAGAACTATCTGAAACTTGCTTAAAGTAGACAACTAAACAAAATGATAAATGTAGGAGGATTTGGGGAAAAATCAGTTAAAAGTGTTGGTTAAGATTATTTGGAAAGCTGATATTTCATTTTGCAATGAAGACTTCCATATAATAAAGCAAAAATTAAAAAAAAAATTAAAGTAGTAAAACACCCTGTCACATACAAATCTACTTTTTCTATTAAACTTTTCAACAGATGGGGAAAAATCATCTCATAATAACATGCTTCAGAAGGTTATATGCTATGGGGAAATTATCCTATCTCACTGATTAGGTGGACTGAACTTAAATTTAATTCTTTCTTTAAATCTCTCCAAATTTTTGAGAAAGTTTCATGTTATTTTCATTTCCTAACATTTTGATTAAAAAAGTGACTGACGTAACTTCTAACTCTCCTCTCAATCTTTAGAGGTCTCAACTTCAAATGAAAATTATCTTGTAAACAAGAAGAACATTGATGACACGTATACAAATTCTTAACTGTTTTAGAAATATCTGAATACCTTCTTTTGCATCTGTCCTTGAAGATCTTCGACTAATTTGGTCATTTCTTCCACTTTTGCTGTAGCAACTCTGAGATCTAATTTGGCTTGTCTTAAAAAGAAAAGTCGAATAATTAATTCATGAAATATTATATAGCTTATATTTGTTGAAATTGCTGATCTATCAATTTGCTGACTTTGAATTTTGTCAATGAAAAAGTCTTATCAACCTGCACTGGTGTAACTCTTAAAAAAAAAAAAGTTGAGAAGTCCTGGGATGAACCTCAAATAGCTAAAAGCATATGGTTAGAGGAGACTGCTGGTTACTATTGGCTTTATACACCATGGAGACTAGGTAAAGAGGAAAAGGACCTTTATGTGCAAAAATATTTGTAGCCATTCTTCTTGTAGTGTCAAAGATTTGGAAACTGAGGAAGTGACCAGCAGTTGGGGAATTTCTGAACAAGTTATGGTATCTGTATGTGATGGAATACTATTGTGTTATAATAAATTACCAAGGATATAGTTTCAGAGAAACATCAAAAGACTTGTATGAAAGGATGTAGAGTGCTATATAGCTTAGTAACTTTTTCAGCAGAGTTTTAAGTTGCTTTCCAGAATGGCGAGTTGACAGCTCCCCCAAGAAGGTATTACTGTACCTATTTTTCCACAGCCTCTCTAGTATTTGGTATTGTCCTTTTTTGTCAACTTAGTCAATCTGATCGTTGTGAACTGGAACCTCAGAGTTGTTACAATTCAGATTTCTCTAATTATTAGTGACTTAAAGCATTTTTAATATAGTTATTTAAAAGCTGAATTTCTGCTTTTGAAAACTGCCTATTCTCCTTCTTTGAAAATTGGAGAATTTTCACCCACATTATTGCAACAGCCCCGTTTGATCTCCCTCTCTCAAGTCTCTTCCCTCTCCAGTTCATCCTCCATGACACTGCTAAAGGGATTTTTCTAAAACACAAATCTAACCACGCCACTTACCAAATAAATTCTAGTGGCACTCTATTACCTCTAAACACAAATACAAATTCCTATTAGTCACTTAAAGCCTTTTACAACCTGGCTTCAACATAACTCTCCAGCCTTATTATATATTACTTCCTTTCATGAACTCTATGGTTCAGCCAAAACTGGTCATTGCTATTCCTCATGCATGATCTCCTATCTCTATGTAATTTTGTAGGTTGTTCCCCATACATAAAACCCATACTCTTTTTACCTCTGGTTTGAGGAAGCCTTACATCCCCCATTTCCTTTAATCAATCAGTTAATCAGGAACCACTTATTAAGCACCTACTATATATGCCAAGCTCTGTGCTAAGCCCTGGGAAAACAGACAAAAATACAATATTCTCTGACCTCAAGGAGTTTACATTCTAACGGATTAGACACGTATACATATAATACATAAAAACAAATAGAAAGTAGTTTGGGGAGGGAATATATTAGCAACTAGAAGACTGCAAAGGCTTCAAATAATTTTTTGACATTTGAATGGAGTCTTGAAGGAAACCAAAAGGTGGACGTATGGAAAAAGTATGGCAGTCTGTGCCAGGGGAAAGTCAAGCACTACCTTTTAAATCAGGAGTTCTCAAGCTGAGACCCATGAACTTGGTTTTTAAAATATTTTATAACTATTTAAATATAATTGGTTTCCTTTATAATCCTATCCATTTTGTTTATACATTTAGAAACATTATTCTGAAGAGTCCATAGGCTTTACCAGACTCCAAAAAGGGCCCATGAAACTAAAAAGGTCAAAACCCCCTGGTCTATATGAAGCCTTTCCTAATGTCTCCCAGCTGCTAGTTCCATTTTCAAAAGAATTACTTCATATGTATATATTGTTAAATATGTACATGTTATCTTCACCAAAAAATGCAAAATGCTTTGGGGAAAGGCCTAATTCTGCCTTATATCTCCAGAACCAAGCACAGCACCTTGCACATAGTAGGCATTTAATAAATTAAACTCCACCTGAGGGTTCCACCAGTACCTCAAGCTCACCAACTATGGAAGTTGGGGAAACCTGAGTTAAAATAGTACTTTTGACACTTACTCAAGTGAACCTGGGAAAGTCACTTAACTCTCATCTGATATTTCTTCAGCTTTAAATTAGGAGAAAAAGCACCTGCCTCAAAGGGCTGCTGTGAAGATCAAAGGAGATGAAATACATAGAGAGCTCTATAAACATTAAATGTGGGCTATTATTACAACTATGTCCCAAAGTGAGCTTATTAACTTTCCCATAAACCTGTTCCTCACGTTCAAACTAGGACACCTGCACTCCACCTATCATTGTCATCCCCTCTTCACATACATCTTCTCTCTGTTTTATAGCTTTCTTGATGTTTATGATCAGAAGAAAACTAATGGGGTCTTGTATTGTACATGAATTGAATATGGAAAGCCAAATCTTTTTAACATTGACTGTCTAGCTATATCTCTCACATCTTTTTCTTCTTAAGCTGAATTTCTGAACCAAAATTTAGAACTTCACATTTCTATTAAATGCAACTTTCTTAGTTTTGGCTCATAGTTTTACTCAGTCAAAATTTTTCTGGATCCTGATCTTCTTGCCCAACATATTAGCTATTCTTCCCTGGTTCTTATCATCTTCAAATTTGATAAGGAAACTATGATTTCAATCAAGTCACTAGGAAAATAAAAATTCCACAACAAAGGATGAAATGTGGGTCCATGAGGCAGGTATTGCACTAGATCTTATTTGAGTTGTCATTCCACTGGCTCAAAATTTTTAACTATACTGTCATTTAGCCAACTCTTTATCTTTGCCACAAGAACAATATGAGACACTTTGTTAAATACCTTGATGAATTTGTACAATAAGTACACATTATTTACCTGATCTAACAGTCTAGTAGTAACATCAATTAAGCATAACCTATTTTCAGTGAAGCCATGTTGGCTCTTAGTAATTTCTATATTTTTTCCTAAATGTTCATAAATCATCCCTGTAATAACACATCCTAGAATTCTGATATGAAATGAAACCAATCTAGCTATTTTTTTTCAAAAAATACTGCTAAAAATATAAATATTTATTAAGTTACTATATACCTATATATTTAGAACTGGCTAACTTCCCTCATTTCCCTGTTTTGAAAATAAGGGAAAGATTTACCTTCTCTTGTCCTAAAGAACTTCATTCTTTAGACAATGATTCTCTCTCTCTCTCTCTCTCTGTTCTCAGGACTCTTTTACACTTAAAATTGTTGAAAAGCTTTTATATCTATTATATCTATCAATATTTACTACATTTGAAATTAAAAGATTTTAGTATTATTATGAAAATAATTTTAATACTGTGGACCTCCTGAAAGGGTCTGATACCTCTGGGGACCACTGGTTCACACTTTGAGAACTGCTTCTCTGAGATATTAAAAAAAATCTGACAAAGCACTGACAATGCATGAGCAATTATCACATTCACCAATTATTTCAGAATGTTATCTAGTTCTGATCATTCAACTACCAAAGAAAATTAGGTTTAAGCAGATCTTCTTATTCCTCTTCTTGTTTCTAACTCTGGCATTTTGTTTCTGAGGGTTTCCCATTATTATTGGGTCAACTTTTCCTATAATAATTTTAGTCCATGGGATCCTACCTATCCTTTCTCTGTATCTTCTTAATTTTGCTCTCCCAAAAGCTAAGATGCCTGCCAATCTGTTGTCAAGATAAGATCTAGAATATCAGTTCTCTATCATATTTTCTACTTTTTGAAGACTTAAATTACTCTTAAGGAAAGCCAAAAATTTATCAACTACTTTGATTTTGGCAGATAGAGTACTTGCAGATGTCCAGATTCATTATTACTAAGTTCTTTTTTAAAAATACCTTTATCTTGGAATAATATGATGATATTTAGCATTCATAACCTGAATCATTATGAAACATTCTACAAATATGACCTAACCAACCTATCTGTCATGTGACTGACTCAACCGGTCAAAGAATAATTTTAAAAAATAAAACAAAACAAAAACCCTCAACTCTAAACTTTGGCAGTTTGATTTGACAATTAACTTTGTTGATTGACTTAAATTCTTCCATTCAAATTAGACTCAATAAACAAATTTTGAGCACCTACTATGCTCAAGGTACTGTGCTAGGTAGCAGGAATAAAAAAAAAAAACATTGCCTTTAAGGAGAATTATGTTCCACTGGGGCAATACATCATATACAGTTAAGTAAATAGAAAGGAATTTAAATGGGTGAAGAATACCAGCAAACTAGAAAGTTTGAGAAGGCTCTGTGAATGAGTTGACAATTAAACTGGATCTAGAATAAAGATAAAGAATCCGAAACATGAAGTTAAGGACGAATAAGATTCCAGGCATGCAAGCCAGTGTGCAGAACATTAAGTTTCTCAAAGACCTAGCAAGTCATCTAGTTATGAAGATTATTTTGATGCTTGTGTCGGAGTAAAATGGAGAAGGCAGAAGGGAGACCAATAAGCCAAGTATAATAATCCAGATGAGAGGCAATGAGGGATTGAAATAGGGTAGTGGCATTGGTTGTAGAAAGAAGGATGGATGCTAGAGATTTGTGGAGATAGAAATGACGAGAGAAGTGACTGGATACAAAGGATGAAGGATAGAGAAGACTAAAAAAATATGATGAAACCCTGGGTGCCTAAAAGAACTCACCACTGAAAGAACAGTGGTGCCCTCAAAAGAAACAGAGAGATATAGAAAGTCAGGTTTAAGGGGAAAAATAATGGTTTGGGGACATGTTGGACAGGTAGAAACAAACTATCAGCACTGTAAGCTCCTGCTGTGTTTTACTGCTGTCTTGATCTAAATACTCTTGCAGAGTTTTTGTTCCCTAGTACTAGAAGATATTTAAAAACAATGTGATAAACACAGTGGAAAATAAAAACAGTGAAATCTAGGACATTTCTGAAAGTAAAGAGTCTAACACAGGGCTTAATAAATACTTTCTGACTTAGTGGCCAACTGTCTAGAAGAAGATCATTCAAAGGAGATCAGCTCTGTCTGAAATAAGAATATATACATTTTTCTCTGTATACAGGTTAGTCATTTTGATCAGACCAGAAATCCAAAATCCATCCTCAGGCAGACTCGGATTGGGACAGTTTTATATGTAAAAATCAGTAAACGGGAAATCAAAAGCAATACTTGAAAATGAATTTGAATTAAATTGGATGAGATAGTTATCACATGATTAGCAAAACTGAGCAAATAGCAATCAAAACGTTCACCAGGAAAGGTTTAAATGATTTATAAAACAAATTTAAACACACCTGAAGATATATTTTTTAAGTACAAAAAAAAAACAATAAATAGTAAGAGAAGTCAAAATAATGCATCTTATTAGGTATAGTCAAACCCAATTGGTTCAAAATCCATTAATGTGTAATTAATGATAATTGAGACAAGCTGAGCTAAAGTTTTTCTCTGCATTATCTCTGAATATAAGTCAATAATTAATTCAGACATCAAGGATGGTAGAGGATAGGGGTCGGGTTTAGATAATGACTTACAGTGGTTCAGAATTACTGGGATGTATAGGGTATGACCAGGTGTGAGAATGTTCATCATAGGGGCAGCTAGGTAGTGCAGTGGATAGAGCACTGGCCATGAAGTCAGGAGGACTTGAGTTCAAATCTAGCTTCAGACCAAACACTTGACACTTACTAGCTGTGTGACCCTGGGCAAGTCACTTAACCCCAACTGCCTAAAAATAAAAAATAAAAATAAAAAAACTAAGGAGAATATTCATCACTGAGTGGAAGGTACTGTTCCCCTTCTCAAAGAAGGTTAGAGATTGGACTGGAAACAAATGTAGCACAAAGTGGAAGGCACAAGGTCAGATGAGGTTCTGTTGCACAATCTCCTCTGAAGCCTGGAGATAGGCAGGAAATGCCACAGAAAAAAAAATGGAAGTTGAACATGTATAGTAGGAGATGAAAGTCTCACCCCCCACCAACATCCCTCTTAACTCTTCCCTCAAGTGACAGGAACAGCGGCAGGAGACGGAAGAACTAAAGTCAAAGTTGCTCTTCTTTGCACCAGAGGTTCTCCACATTGAGGCTGGGAGATCAGGCTGACAACCGGAGGTACAAGCTGCCCTGTGGTGGCTTAAATTGAAGCTACTCCACTGGCCTCTAGCCGGCTTTCCTCAGGGCACGAGTGAAGCAAGAGATGAAAGGACCTTGGTCAGAGAAAGGCCTTGCTTGTTTTCTCATCTGAGGCTAGATATCAGGCACACACAGTGGAAGCAGAAGTGTCCAGATAAAGAGAGGAGTTTGTAATTGATTCTAGAGGTAATAGGGAGCCACTGGAACTTTTAAGCAAAGGTAGTGATAGGGTTAGATCTGTCAATTAGAAATATCACTTTGGCAACTGTGTGGAGAGGTGAGAGATTTAACCAGGGAGACTAATTAGTGGGTAATTGAAATACTCTAGTCCAGAAGTAATGAAGACCTGAATTAGAGTGTTTGTGGCACAAGTGGAGAAAATAGGATAGATTCGAGAAATGCAGTGGAATCAGACCTGAGAAGTCATGGCAAATGACTGGATACAGGAAGAAAAGAGAAAGTGAAAAGTCTAATGTGTGTATGTGTAATAAATCATATAACCCCCTATTCTACATAAAAGGAAACTGATGTCCAGTGGTTTGACCAATTTCAGACACATCTGACAGTGTTAAAGCTGGGTAACCTCAATTCTAAACTAATGCTCTTTCCACTATACCTTCATTCAAGAAACATATTTATTATGTCTATTAAGCCATATAAGGTTCCTTTAAGTGATGACCACTCCTGTTACATTTAAAGCACAATTCAACTTATGAGTTATTTTCAGACATACCTTTAGAGGAACGGATGGATTACTGAAGTAAATCATACCCACAGTTTAAAATATTCTCTATTATAGCTATCAGCTGTCCATCCTGAAACTACTTCCTGTTTAGACTAGATAAGAATTCACTGAATTTATTTAAACTTTTGATGAACTAATAATGTGCACAAATTTTTTTTTATTTGTTAATTTCTGCAGAACAGTATTACATTTCCTGAAAATGCTATCCAATCAATACAAGACTGCTACGTATTTGTTGCTTTGGATCAGGTAAATAATCCAAAATAAGTATAATGACTGTCAGCAAAGAAGTAAGGTATGATATTATAAAAGTTGGTTACTGTTATTTTAAGCTGCATTGCAAAAACCTCTAAAACAATGAGTAAAGCACAATAATGATCTACTAGTAGAAATGCTGGTAATAAAAAATGCAATTATATCATGAGCTACCATAAACAACTACTTTAGGTAAAGATATTTAATTAATAAAAGGAAGAAAATGTGGCAAAGAAATCTGATAGCAAAATTCATTTCTGGAAATTTAATATGATATTACCTGAACATAGGAAGGATCTATTTCATCTCCTAGGGAACTCCTATCCCAACATTTATGCAATCTTCTAAAACTTAGCAGATAAATCTCTACAGAGCTATCTGAGGTATAAAAAAGTCAGTTGACTTGCCTAGGATTATCAAGCTATTCAAACTGACTCCAAGTTCCATCTAAATGGTCTCAACATAATATTAGAACAAAACGTATTTCGCTGCTTCTGTTCAAGACAATTCTTTGAAGCCTTATCATGATTCTAAACTCATTTTGAAATGCTGCCATCATAGGAAAACGAATCTTACAATTTGAAGAAATTGAGCTCTAATTTCTGACTATGGGGTCTGGGAGAAATACCAAGAAGGTTAAAATGATTCAGACCAAGGAGGAGGGCAATTCTCTTTGGGATACAGCCACAATACCTTAATATCCCTTAAATAAGAAAAGGCATTATGATAATACTAATAATAATAAAAGTACTTGAGAAAATTCTCATTTTCACCAAAATACCTAAGTTGTTTGCGTAGTTGCTCAATTTCCACATTCTGTTCAGTTACTGTTTTCAGGAACTGTTGGTTAGTCTGAAAGGAAAAAAAATACAAATTCAATAATGGCATATTTAAGACTGATTTTTAGGGATTAATTACAGGATAAGACAATGACTCAAAGATCCCTGCTAGAACAAGAATGCATAATGATGATTAAATTGACTTTGGGATAATACAGTCATTTAAGTAAGATAATTTACTTCTAGGACTCTCAAGTAATGGAACCAACTTCCCTCTGTATCACTGATCTTATTACACTACTAAGATCCTTATCATTTCTGCAACAAATATTTAATAGCTGCCTACAATCTCTTCTAACTCATCCACAATACATACCACTATCAGACTAATCTAACAAAACACCGTTTTCATCTTGCTACTGGTTAGCTACTTTATCAAGTTTAAACTCCTTTTTCTAATTTTCAACTGACAAATCAAATCAGTTGGTAAATATATGAGAGCCTACTTTGATTAAGGCATCATATTAAGCACTGAGATCTTTAAGTGGTACAACATTCATTTATTCATTCAACAATAAACAATATGTACCTACTATTTACGGGCCACTGTGCTAGCTGCTGGAAGATTTGCAAAGTTTAAATAAGGCATGGAGTTTGATCTCACATAGTTTATAATCAAATAATACTTGACATAGGCTACACTTCAATAATTCAACGGATCTGTAATTTTATCCATGTAGATATTCCTTCTTTCAATGCAGATCACCTCAAATCTGACCTTCTGCACTTAGAGTTTTCCCAGTGCCACCTGCTGCTGGTGCTTTCCCTTGGAGACTGTACTCCATTTATTCTCATTCTCTTTTTCATTCTCTCTCTCTCTTCCTTTCTCCCTCCTCCCTCTCTTTTTTCTCTGTATTTAATATCTGTATTATATAATATATATATATAATATCTAAATAGATAGAAATAGATGATGCAGATTGTTATTTACATATTATCTCCTCCCTTAGAATGTGAGTGTCTTTGTCTTTTTTTTTTTTCATCTATAGCACTTAGCACAGTGCCTGGCACATAGTAACCACTTAATAAGTGCTTACTGATTGACAATCCATCAATACTTTCTCACCTGATGTCCATATTCTCCATTCTCCCATAGATCTTTCACAAAGGACAAAAAGTACTGACCTTTCTCTAGGTCTTTTTACAGTTCATAGGTGCAGTGAGAGAAAATATATCAAAGTTAAGTCCATCAGAGAATTGCATAACAAAGTGTTATATTGAGTGTGAGGAAAAAGTTACTAAGAAGAAGAATCAGAGAAGACTTCATGAAGGAAACAGAATCTAAGTTAGGCTTCAGTCTGGACAGGAATGTGGCATATAAAAAGGGAGCCAGCATGGTACAATGACTAACCCTGGAGTCAGAGAACCTGGGCTCAAATCCCATCTCTGACAACTTACTACCTCTGTGACCTTGAGCAAGACATTTTTATCTTCCTAGGCTCTAGCTTCCTCATCTCTAAATTAAAGAGTGAGACTAGATGACCTCTTTGGTCCTTTCCAGTTCTAGACCTAAGAACCTACCTAGAATTCTATGAAATTCTAGCCAAAAGGTGCAGTATGATCAAAAGTAAAAAAGTAGGAGATATAGGATAAGCTTGGAAGGAAAAGAGTGGTCCAGCTGACTAGAATGCAGAATGAGTGAAATGATCAATGAAAGATAAAGCTGGAAAGGAAAAGCAATGGAAAATTACTGAAGTCATTTAAAGTCAGGACAAAGTGAACTTTCAGTAGCAATAGCTAGCGCCTGAAGAATTCTGTTTGCAAGTGAAACGACCAAATCTACATATAAAGAAAAAAAAAACTGTTGCAGTAAAATGATAGATTGGAGAGGTAACTGATTGGAAGGAGGAATACTCGTTAGGAGGTTACTGCTGTAGTCCAATCAAGTGGGGTAGTGGCAATACAGAAGTAAATCTGAGAGATTTTATGAAAATAGAAGCGACAAGACCTAGTAACTAATTGGGGGGGGGAAGTTAAAAATAACTGAGCTTACTAATGCAGGATACCTAGTAAATGGTAGAGCCACTGAAAAAAATAGTGAAGTCAGAAGGAAGAGAAGGTAATATGATAATAAGTTCAGTTTAGGATCTGTGCAATTTGAAGTGCCACTGAAACATCTAGGTGGAGATGTCATGTAAGAAGCTGGAGATGTAAGTCTAAGAAGTTCAGGCTTACAAGTCTAAAGCTTGTAAGTTAGATTAGTCTGACAGTAGTACATAGTATGGATTGAGAGGTCATGTTGGAGATATAAATTAATTGAGGTAGTAGCCAGGGCATACAGTAAAAGCTATGTGATGATGAAGAAGATTTCCAGAGGAGAATATAGAATTGCATGTTAGGAAAGTAGCTGAATAGACTGGACTTAAAGCAGAGACCAATAAGAAGCCTACTGCAATAATCCAGGTATGAGGTACTAAGAACCTTAATCAGGGTGATGACAGAAAAGAGCATATCCAAGAGATATTACGAAGGTAGAATCAACAGGACTTGGTAACAGAACGGATAGGGAGTGAGAGTGAGGAGTGAACAATGACATCTAAGTTGTGAACTTGGATGATCTAATGTTCCTTTTAATTACAAATTCCATGATTTCTCTGTGATGCTTTTTCCTGATGACATTTGCCCAAATTGATCTCTTTCTTTTCTAATTCCACTTGGATTTTTTTGTAGCACATAATTAGGGCCTTAGTTTCAATATTCTATTTTCTAATACTGTACTGTATTATTTAGCACTTTACTACAGAATCATAGAATTTTAGAATCAGTAAGGATTTGAGGAGCTGTCTAGTCTAATCCATACCTGAAAGGTATCCCCACTACAACATATCCAACAAGTGACAATACAGCTGCATTCTGAGAAAGTCTGTTCTACCTTTGGACAGTTCTGTCAATAAGTTTTTCCTTATATCAAAATGAAACCTTCCTTTCTGCAACTTCTACCCACCACCTTTAGTTTTGCCCTCAGGGAACAAGCAGAACAAATCTGACTCCCCTTCCAAATAACAGCCCATCAAATATTTAATAGTCATTAAGTCCCATCTGCTCTCCCCTCCCCCTAGACTCCTAGGTCTTTTCTCCTCCAGGGTAAACATTCTTAATTGCCTGAACTGTTGTTATGGGCTCAAGGCACTATTACTAACATTGTAGTCCAGTGAAAAGAGGGTCTGGAGTGACCTTGGATACATCACTTAACATTCTTGTCCTTCCTCATATGTAAATTACATAATGTCTTATCTGCTAATTGTTTACCCTAAAGATTTTCTTTTTCCAATTAGATTGTAAGCCCTTTGTGAGGATCATATCTTATATTCCCTTTGTAGTCCAAAGCACCTGGCACAATACAAAAAACTTTAATACAACTCAACTGATTTCAGAAAGATAAGCATTACTAAAATAAGGATTGAATTTTACACAAGCATGTCATTATGAAACATGATGTTGAGTGTCCTAAAACTATTGATGAATAAAGTCCAACAGTAACTATTTAAATATATTCGTGTATTTTTACCTAGCATTCAGCTAAAAACGTTTTATTTCTTACACATTATTAATATAAATTGGTGATAATTTCCTAATTTGCTTACTGAATCCTTATTAATTTATTATATATCTATGAAATGAAAGTGTTCATTTAACAAATTTATTAATTATCTAATGGATTTATTCATGTAATCAGGAAAAAAAAACATATTTAGGGATCTCAGGAAGTTTTTACAAACCAGAAGATACAAATCTGTCCCTCCAATCACATTTGGTAAAAAGCATGTAATTTCTAAATCTAGTCTTATTCAACCAATATCCTTTACCTAATAGAAGTCTGGCTTTGTTTTTGAAAAATGTGTATATATACATATGTGTGTATATTTATACACATCTTATACACACACACATTGATGATTCTCAAATCTTCTTATCCAGCCCTAACCTCTCTGCTGACTTCCCATTGTCTTTTAGATATCTCAAACTGGATGTTCAGTAGACATAAACTCAACATGTTCAAGGCTGAACTCATATTTCCTCCTAAAACCTCCTGCTTTCCAAATGTCCCTATTTCTGTTGAGGGCACCTCTATACTCCTTGTTCCCTATGATTACAACCCAGATATTATCTTACACTCCTCACTGTCTCTCACCTTTCTATATCCAATCTATTGCCAAGGCTTCAAGATTCCACCTTTGCAACATCTCTGAAATTCATTCCTTTTTTTCTTCTAATACCAACACCACTCTACTGCAGGTCCTCATCTCCTCATAACTGGACTACTGAAATAGACTTGCTAGTTGGTCTGCGGGCCACAAGTCTCTCCCCACTCCAGTCCATCTTCCAGTCAGTCACCAAAATGATTTTAAGATTTAAAATTTAATATTTTCTTAAAGTGCAGGTAGGTGAGACCATATCACCCCCACACTCAGTAAACTCCAGCAGCAAATGTAAATTCCTCTATGTGGAGTTAAAGGCTCTTCAGAACCTAGCCTCCCACCCCTCCAATTTTGCAGTCTTTTTATACCCTGCACTCCCTACCTGTATTCTTTGATCAAGTGATACTGGACCCCTTGTTGTTCCCCAAGTAAGACCTTCTGTCTCCCAACTCTAGGCATTTTCACTGACTGTTCCTCCATGCATGGAATATTCTCCCTCTTCATCACCACCTTCATAGTTGCCTGGCTTCCTTCAAATTTCAGCTAAAATCCCACCTTCTATAGGAAGACTCTCCCAATACCTCTTGATTCTAGCACTTTTCCACTTTTGAATTTTTCCTATTTATCCTGTATATAGCTTGTTTACACATAACTGTTTACATGTTTTTCCCCTTTTAGATTGCAAGTTCCTTGAGAGCAAGGACTGCCTGCCTTTCTTTGTATCCCCAGCCCTTAGTATAGTGTCAAGCACAGAGTAGAGACTTAATAAACATTTACTGATTGCTACACAAGCTACAAAAGGGTTTTTTTGCCAGTTTTCCATTGTTTTCAATGATTATATCATTATTCTTTTCTTTCTCTAGTAATTTCTAAC